ACAGGTGCTTCTTGACTGTTGCATTATGAACTATGACATGTTCAGACCCTATATAAGGAAAAGTGTATTTTTGCTTTGGGACTTTTTGTCTAAGTTATTCCTCATTGAGTTCTTTTTCCCGCCCCTTCCGCTCCCACTCCGCCCCACCAGGAGATTGAATTGGGTCTCCAAATTGTTTTTTGTGGGTAAATTGCTAACTCGAGAACTTGGAAAGCTAGAAAGCTGGAATTTTAAGGGGATGTTCCGGTTTTGCGTTTCAATTCCGCAAACAGTTCCGAAAAATTTAACAGTAACGCTTTTTTGGTTAAACTTTTGCTTCCCTTTTACTGAATGCTACACTTTTTTGCATCGATTTTGCCCTTCTTTTTTTGGGTAAATATTTCGTTTCCTCATTTTTAATGTAAAAATCTCTTAACAGACATATTTGAACAAAAGTAACCCCGCGAAACGCTTCGATTCCGTAGATATTGGTAATTTTACATTTTTGCGGTATTTTGTAAGCATTCTCTCTGTGTTTTTAAAATTGAAGGTGGAAGATTATATTATTGGCTATTTGGGCGAGAGCCGTTCCGTGAAAGAACTCATACGAGAGTTCTTGGAGAGGCGTTCGCAGGCACGTCAGAAAAAAGGACCTGTTGACAAGGATGTGAGTTGATTTTCGCAGATTTTTCTTTTTTTTTTAATTTTTTTTTTTTTGAAAATGTATACTTCGCACGGATACGCAGCTGGGATGGTATTGGTTGGAATGTAGGTGATTATTAAAGTGGCAAATTTCGAAAAAATGGTGCTTATCAAAGAGATGATGGGCAGAAATTGAAGAAATGCAGAGATCTGGGTCGAAAGGCCTGGCATGGTTGCTTTTGCTTCCAATGTGTGGTTGCACTCTGCCCATTAGCCCAAAAGTATTAGTAAACTGAGTTTTTCATTAAATTACTTAGATGATAGGTTTTTTTTTTATGCCGATATTTTGCCAATACCGTTTTTTGCATAAGCCGATTCTAGAAACCAGGGTTAATCCTGGAATGGAGGGGAAGACCACGAAAACAAGAAGTGAAAGAGATAGTGGAGAGCATATGTTGTAAAAAAATGTTAAGGAGATGTAATGTGGACCTGTAGGAAGGCTAAGTGTAAACTTGGCTGTCTGTGTTTCATCCTTAAGCTGCAAACACAGACAATATTCGGTGTGGATTGGAGTTGGAATCGTCAGTGAAGCTTAAATGGCAAAAACGCGATAGGTTATAGCATGAAAGAGCAGTATAAGAAAAGAAAGTAAGAGTGAGATAAGACATTTCGTTCCATTAAGTCATATATATGTCTTAACTGTACCCCAATGATTTAACATACTAAATTAAAGGCCCCCCCCCCTCCCCACCTGCGCTTTTATAAGTGAAATATTCATTATTTTGTAGGATTTAACGCACCCGGCGCATGCGGCCGATGCAGTGAGCATGAATGCAACCGGAAGCAAATCAGACAGTACTACCTCACAGCAACAAGTGACGGGTGGAGGAGGAGGAGGAGGAGGAAGAAAGAAGAAGAAAGGTGGCAAGGGGAACAAGCTGCTCGTTGATGGTGCTTGTTTGGGCTTTAAAGGAACAGCCGATCCAAATCGAGTTAACGTTGGTGAAATTGACACAGTTGGTGCAACCCAAAAGTGATGATGATCCAGATCTTTTCTCGTCTCATTCGTCGTGCTGAGTTTTTTTTTAAAATTTGTATAGGCACTCTCATTTTTTTTTCTTTTTTTTTTATTTGGGCTCTGTATAGGTTTTTTGCAACTCCGGTATGATTTTTTTCTTTTTTTGGAACGCAAAACGGATGGGGGATTTTTGAAATCTTAACCAGCAAAAAGCAGCATTTAGACTCAATTACACATTTCTTTATAAAAGTTTGGCTTTGGAAAATTTGTATTTTTTGATTTTTGCTTTTTCGAATTGCGAATTTTCGAATTGAAGAAATTTTTTTCGAATTTTTTCGAATTTGATGTTTCTTTTCAAATTTCGAGTTTTCGAATTGAAGAAATTTTTATATGCTCTGGGATTTAAGCTACCAGTAAAGAATCGTGATAATTTTTCAATGGTGCATTTCCGAGGGATCCGCTCGTTAGGTTTTCGTCCGGTTTTTTTTTTTTTTTT